GGATATTAATGACCAGTTAATTCCTGTTATCTTTTGGTGATAGTATGTGTATTTCCCTTCTTTGGGATTTGCTGTGGTGGGGTTATCGATTGCCTGTGTTTTCGTGGGTGCATCTAACTTCCTTAGGTTGGAGTTTTCCTTCTAGTGCTTTCTGTAGGGCTGGATTTGTGGATAGGTATTGTTTAAATCTAGTTTTGTCTTGGAATGTGTTATGCCTCTGTCTATGGTCATTGAAAGTTTTGCTGTGTATAATAGTCTGAGCTGGCATCCATGGTCTCTTAGTGTCTGCATTATGTCTGTCTGGGACCTTCTGGCTTTCAGAATCTACATTGAGAAGTCAGGTGTTATTCTGATGGGTTTGCCTTTATAAGTCACTTGGCCTTTTTCCTTTGCTGCTCTTAATATTCTTTCTTTATTCAGTATGTTTAGTGGTTTGATTGTTGTGTGGCGAGGGGACTTTTTTGGGGGAGTCTAGTCTATTTGGTGTTCTATAAACTTCTTGTATCTCCATAGGTATTTCCTTCTTTATCTTGGGAAATTTTTCTTCTGTGATTTTGTTGAATATGTTTTCTGTGCATTTAAGTTGGTATTCTTCTCCTTCTTCTATCCCTATTATTCTTAGGTTTGGTCTTTTCGTGGTGTCCCAGAACCTGGATGCTTTGTGTTAGGATTTTTTTGGCTTTAGTATTTTCTTTGAATGACAAATCTATTCCCTCTATTGTATCCTCCATGCCAGAGATTCTCTCTTCCATCTCTTGTATTCTGTTGGTTATGCTTGCATCTGTAGTTCCTGTTCATTTACTCAGATTTTTCCATTTCCAGCATTCCCTCTATTTATGTCTTCTTCATTGTTTCTATTTCAATTTTCAGGTCTTGAACTGTTTCCTTCACCTGTTTAATTGCTTTTTTTTTACTTTCTTTAAGGGATTTATTGACTTCTTCCAATTTTTTTGTTTGTCTTTTCCTCATTTTCTTTAAGGGAATGTTTCATTTCATCTTTAAAGGCCTCTATCATCTTCATAAAGGTATTTTTAAGGTTGCTTTTTTCTGTTACTTTTACGTTGTGATGATCAGGTCTTGCTGTTGTAGAACCACTAGGTTCTGGTGGTGCCATATTGCTCATTATGTTGTTGTACATATTTTTGCACTGGCATCTACCCATCTCTTCCTCTAATAGGTACAAGAGGTGTCTGTGTCTGAGGGAGCTGCTCTTGGACCACTCTGTGCTGGCTGTGTCTGTGTCTCCAGGAGCCACTCTTGGTCCAATCGGAGCTCTTGGTCCAATCAGGGTTGGTGGATTCTGTGTCTCAGGGAGCCTCTGAGGTCACAAGGGGACAGGTGGGTTTGGGACAGGGAGTGGGTCTTGTAGATTGCAGGGTCAGGTCCAATGGGGGGTGTTGGTGGGGATGCCTGCCAACAGGAGTCTTCCCTGCTGGCCTGCACCTAGGGCAGTGATGGGCAGGGGAAAGGGGTAGTGCCTCTGGGGCCTGGGGCCTAGAGACAGGACTCTCAGGCTAGGAGAGGAGACATTCACCTCTTGGTTCAATTGGAACTGGCAGATTCTGTGTCTCAGGGAACTGCTGAGGTCCCAGCAGGACAGGTGGGTTTAGGGCAAGGAGTGGGTCTTGTAGACTGCAGGGTTTGGTCCGATGAGGGGTGTTGGTGGGGATGCAGGAGACTTTCTTGCTGGCCTACACCTTTTGGTCCAATCAGAGCTGGCGGATTCTGTCACAGCCAGTGCTCTTAGCCATTGAGCCATCTCTCCAGCCCTAAAATATTTATTTTTTAATTACATGTTGTATGGGTATGTGCAAGTGAGTGCAGGTGTCCACCGAGGCCAGAAGAGGGCATCAGATCCCTTGTAGCTGGAATTGCAGTATTAGTGAGCTACCTGATATGGCGGTTAGGAACCAAAGTTGGATCCTTTGTATGAGCAGTATGTGCTCTTAACCATTGGTCATCTTTCTAGCCCCTATATTTTTGTTGTTGTTGTTGTTTTAAGGATGTGAAGGGTAGTGATGGATACTTAATATTTTTTACACATTAAAAAAACTTGTCCTTTTATTAGGATATTTGCTGTGAGACTGTGTCTCCTAGAAAAGTCAGAAGTTACACACATGAAGTCTCACCAGCTTGACTGCCTAAACACGTGCTAAACAAAGACAACAACAATAGACATGCTGCAGTGGGCAGGGGAAGTCCACAGGCCTTACAACACACAGAGAACTACAGGCACCTAAGGAGTGCTGAGAGTGGAGGAAACGGTCAGCCCTCAAAATGTGCATGCAAGTAACAATACAGACTGAATAGGTTATATTTAGGAATGTACATGCGTGCGTGCGTGCGTGCGTGCGTGTGTGTGTGTGTATGTGTGTGTGTGTGTATATATATATATATATATATATATATATATATATATGATGGATTTGAAAAAAAGCAAGGATGGGGTGTATGGGGGGATTTGAAGTGAGGAAAGGGAAGGGGGAAATCATATATTATGATCTCAAAAATAAATTGTCCTTTTAGAATAAGACTAATTTTATTTAAACAGAAGTTATAGTACCTTTGTATTAGTCATGATTCTGTAGAGTAATAGAACTTATAGAACAAATAGAATGAATATATATATCATATATATGACTTATTAGAATGGCTTACAGGCTGTGGTCCAAGCATCCAATAGTTGTTCAGTGCACAAGGCTGGACCACTCAGCTGGTTTTCAGGACACACTGGAATCCTGAAGAAGTAGGCTCTAATGCCAGTTAAGGAATGGACTTGCCAGGGAGGTTAAAGCAACCTGGCAAAGAAGGAGAGCGCTTCCTTCTTCCACGTCCTTACACAGGCTGCCAGAGGAGGTATGACCTAGATTAGAGGTGGGTCTTCCCACCTCAAAAGATCTGGATTAAATGTTTATCTTCCTATTTCAAATGATTTAATTAAGAAAAAAAATCCCTCCCAGGTGTGCTCAGTCATTTGGGTTTTAGTTAATTCCAGATGTAGTCAAGTTGACAACTGAAAAAAGCCATCACCACCTTCCTCAGAATAGAGAAAAATATTGTGGCCTTGGAAAATCAGAGCAGCTAATTTTACCAATTAAAAACCTTAACCCATTTCTTCTTTTTGCCTAGTAGAATGTTTATTACTAACTGTTTCATGTTCATTGGCCTCGAAGTACTATTTAGAGAAAGGACCTTGGAGCAATAGAGTAACTCAATGTGCTGCAAGGTCTAGGAAAACCAGCATGCACAAAGAACCATAAACTCAACTGGGCAGGTGATGTCTACCTACAGATTCTAGCTGACCCGGGAAGTGGGGGTGTGGCCTAGCATTACAGTGTTTACAAATTGACATGATGATGGCAAAGACTGATGCTGACCGACCACTCCAGGCTTCTCACAGGAGCCAAGTCATTTCATCCTTACAACTACCCTGCTCTGACCTAGTCTTTTCACTCCAGAGGAAGTTGAAAACAGAACAGTTAGGTGGCCTACCCAAAGTCATGACAGCAAAAGTGAGTGGCCATGGCTCATAACTTTTGTCCCATTCTGACTCAACACACATGTCAACTTTCTTTAATATAGTGGGAAGTTGTGTTAATAATATCAGTAAAGCTGGAAAGGCTCTTCCCTAGTTCTGTGGTGGTTCAAACCATAGCGTGCTCACCTTCAGAGGCTGGCGTGGATCTGGGAAGAGGCATTCTTAAGAGGCACCAGGTGCTTCTGACCATCTTTGAGATACACTGGTCTGGTTGCTACACGGCCTACGCTATTTACTTCACATTAAGGCTTATTGTTGTTGATTGTGTACTTATGCCAGATTATTCAGGGTGTCTCTTTGAGTATGTGCATGCTCAAGTGCTGCACTCCTAATCACACTCCTTATGTAGAGAATGAATAGGAGGCCAGCAGCAGAGGGAATCTTCTGAGCAGATCTTTTGTGCACGCCTCAGAATCGGGTATGTTGACCTGAAGAAATCATTAAGATGAATGCAAGAAAGAAAATGACAGAAGATAGCTACTCAAATGAGATTTTGTAAACATTTTTACATTTATTTATCATTATTATTATTATGTGTGTGCGCACACTCATATGTATGCCATAGCAGGTATTTAGAGGTAGGAACTCCTGGAACTCAGTTCTTTGTGTTGTGGATTCCCGAGATGGACCACAGAGTGCTAGACTTATGGAGCACTCTTACAAACGCCTTGTGTTGGTTTTGTTCACAGGGCAATGTTAATGTAGATTGTATTTTACAATAAAGTAGTTTCATGTTTGGGGTTATTCTGAATTATTCTGGGTTATTCTAACTGGCCAAGGAAGGCAGCCTCTCCTAAGTTGTAGTGTCCTAGTTAGTTTTCTGTTGCAGGGATAAACACCATGATCTAAAGCAACTTGTCAAGGAAAAGGTTTATTTGGCTCACAGGTTACAATCCATCATCAAGGGAAGTTAGGGTAGAACTCAAGCCAGTATCCTGAAATGGAGCAGAGACCATGGAGGAGTGCCGCTTTCTGGCTTTCTCAGTCCCCAGCCTGGAGCTCACTGTCCCAGTCTGGAGCTGGAGTCCTGCAGGATTCCTGGAGAGCTGCTGACCTTTGGTCTGTCTAAACCTGGAGGAAGTTGGCTGATACTGGTGAAGTATAGTATAGTTCAGCAGCGGGGTAGATGAACTGGCCAGTGAAAGTGAGGGCAAGCAGGCAGAAAGGAAAGCTTGCTTTTTTCTGACTCTGTGGGCTGCCACCAGGAAGTGTGGCCCAGATTTAGGGTGGGCCTTCCTGCTTCAAATAACCTGATTAAGAAAATTTCTTACAGGCATGCCCAGCAGCTTGGGTTTTAATTGATTCCAGATGTAGTCAAGCTGACACCCAAGATTAGTTATCACATAAATTATCGGGAACCCTGATTATTCATGTCTTAGAATGCAGGATAAACAGTCTCAGTTTTACTACTTCAGTGTTTTAATTATCTGTTGGACTCAAAAATATATTTTCTTCTTTCTAGGGAGTTTATAAATCACATTAAGTCAGAAAGTAGCCAGTTACAAACAAAATGAGTCTTCCCACGCTACTGCATCCTTACCAGCATCTCCTAAACAGCCTTAGAGTGCCTTCCCCACGGCTCCACTGCATCCTTCACTCAGGTCGGCATCCTGCATCCCGAACCCCAAGTGCACCTGCAGCCACACCCCCTGGACACCAGTATACTAAGTGGGTGCTGCTGTCTGGAGGCCTAAGGAGAGCGTTATGTGCCCAGACAACCTCGAAGGACCACACAGAAGGACTTTCTGATAAAGAACAAAGATTTGTGGATAAACTTTATACGGGTTTAGTCCGCGGGCAAAGAGCTTGCTTAGCGGAGGCCATAACTCTTGTGGAATCGACTCATGCGAGGAAGAAGGAGCTGGCTCAGGTGCTTCTTCAGAGGGTCCTGGCCCACCACCGAGAGCAGGAACGGCTCAACCAGGGGAAGCCCCTCACGTTTCGAGTAGGTCGGTTTTCTTTTTCTGTTGCTCAGTGAAAATGGTTTTCTAAACTCTTCTAAAATACATCCACCTTCTGTGAGGTCAGATGGAGACTTCTTTCCTTGAACATTTGGATAAAATTAAATGATGTGTTTTACAAGTATTAATCTTCATATATGGTAAAATTACCATGACCATTTGAAGCAAGCCTGTGTAGTCAGTAAGAATTCTGTTGTGGCAAGACTCTTGTGGTGGATTCCAGAACAGAAGTGCACCCAGAATGAGTTGTTAGCAGTGTGCTGCTCCTGGCAGTCCTCAGATGCTCATCTGGAGTGAGTTCTCCTGTTTTCCTGCCCTACCTTTCAGAGTTGGAAATTCTGTTTCCTTGGTGTTTTGTTTTCTCTCTTGAACACAAGTCCCACCTTTTCTTCTTTCCTTTTCTTTAGTCTTGCTGTGTCTCACAGGGTGACTTCTAAGCCATCCTCCTGCCTCAGCCTCTGGAATGCTGGGGTTCCAGGCATGTCCTAGGACTCTAGCCTCTCACTGCACTGAGATACTTTTCATTGAGCTTCTAGGGGTGGCTCTAACCTTCCAGCCATCTCTGTGCCATGATTTGAAAGACGAGATCAGGAATGGATATGAATGTTTCAAAGACAGTTTCACACATAGGTCTCCAACCAGTCTTTGTACCTGTCCCTCCATTTCACATTTCTTCCTCAAAATGAGAGTCCCACACTGGTCTTGATAGTCTTTATGTGTTGTAGACAGACTAGCACACCCCCAAAGAGAGCACCAAGCATGACAAAGTGTCTACTTACAGTAGACCTTAGAGAACCCTTGAAGAGAGAAAAGTCTTAGTGTTTGCTTAGCAAGTCACACACACCTTCTCAGGGCCTCCTGGGTGTTCTACCTGATCTTAGTCCTGAGACACTCCAGTCTTCAGTCATTTTATCATCATCGTAAATTAAAGCAACATGAATTTATTCAGCCCCTGTAAAGGTGCTCAAGACAGAAAGCTGCCATGAGCTATAGTAAGGACCTAAGCCTGCCATACCCTGTCTGTACTCCTGAAGATTGTTGAATGCCATGTTTAATGTTCTGCATTGAATGGTGTGCCTCTCATGCCTGCAGTGTATGTCACACACCATTATTAAACATTATCTCATTTAAACCTTAAACCAACCTGCAAAGACTGTGCTATTGCAGCAGCTGCTGGCCTGAGGAGGGTGCTGAGGCACTCGGAGGGCTTGAGTGGCACTGTACAGACCACAGCACTTGGGTGAGCCCCCACTGACAGCTCAGGGTTTACCCCTTACCTGCCATGCTTGACTGAATTTCCATGTAGGGCCTTCCCTGCCTTTCTGAACATCAGGATTTTTTTTTCAGATTTCCCTTTATTGGATATTTTCTTAGTTATGAGTGAGACAACAGAAAAATGTACAGAAAATCACTTTCTCAATTGCTAGCAGTTTCGGAGTCATGGATTGTTTTTCCAGTGGGCTGAAGTAGAAGTAGGGCGGGTGGAATAATTACCCACTGTGATGAGAAGGTGGCAGGTGTACAAGGTCTACACACTGAAACACAAGCAGTGAAGTGTGTGTCCCTAAAGACCTGCACTACAGGGAAGGGGAAGACACTTGGTCATTGATGAAAGCGGACTTTATAAACATGGACCTTGGAAGTGTTTTCTTCTGTCTCACTGTTACTTGGGAATTAGATAAAGAGATGCATTTTCCACTGACTGCTTTAAGGCGTGTTAAAATATGTCAATGATGATTTTCATAAATTAGAGGAAACAGAAGGTAAATTAATGTTTTATTTATCAAAACTAGTCATGGTGCTGATTTCATTATTTCACTATAGGATTGTCTGGGCCCCCTGGTGCAGGGAAATCAACCTTTATAGAATATTTTGGAAAAATGCTGACTGAGAGAGGGCACAGATTGTCTGTGCTAGCAGTGGACCCGTCTTCTTGTACCAGTGGTGGTGAGTATGGCTAACATTTTTACCTGCACAGCTGATGGGGCTCTGCTACAGGTTAGTGGGAATCGGCAGTTAGGTGACTGTTGTACAATATTATGTTAAGGTGTGTGACTTTTGTTTATGTTGTATTTGTTTAACTCTGTGAAGCTGTGTTACTGTGCCTGTCTAAAACACCTGATGGTCTAATAAAGACCTGAACAACCAATAGTGTGTCAGGAGAAAGGATAGGTGGGGCTAGCAGGCAGAAAGAATAGATAGAAGGAGAAATCTGGGAGAAGAAAGGAGTAACCAGAGAAGGAGGAGGACATCAGAGGTCAGCCATCCAGCCACCCAGCTACACAGCAAGCTATGGAGTAAGAGTAAGATTTACAGAAGTAAGAGAATGGTAAAAGCCCAGAGGCAAAAGACAGATGGGTTAATTTAAGTTAAGGAAAACTAGCTAGATGCAAGCCAAGCTAAGGCCAGACATTCATAATTAAGAATAAGCCTCTGTGTGTGATTTATCTGGGAGCTGGATGGCCGGCCCCCAAAAGAAAAAACAACCAACAACAAGTGACCTCTAACTGCCATCTGAGTTTGACCTCATGAAAGGAACCATTCCTGTTCTGCAGAGTGAGGTGATGTTGGCTAATCATGCCAACTCAGAAGGCAGAGATGGCTTTCTCTGTTTTTTTTTTTTTTTTTTAAAAAAAAAAAAAAAAGGCCCCACCCCTGGAGACCTCCAGCGGCCAGGCTCCACCCCTAGACTACTTTGGTTGCCAGACCTGACCCCTCCCCAACCTGAGGAGCTCCAATGGCTAGGACCGACCCACAGACTTCTCTAACAGCCCTAATGGCTTTAAAGGCTGTTCCTTGCTCTCCCACCCAGTGACCAGGCCCCACCCTACAGAAAAAAAAAATCCCACCAATCCCTAATCTTGCCCCAAAATCAGGCCATAATCCCTCCAATCCCAGGCCACTCGAAAGCTCCCCTGACCCTGAAGCCCTGTATAACTCTGTCTTCTGTTCAGCTCTCTAGAGCAGAGGCAGCCACCCTTCTGGGTTTTTCCCTCCTAATAAATCTCTTGTGTGAGGTTTGTTGTGTGGTGTGACTTTGTGGTATTCCTTGGCTCCTGACTGCCAGGATGCCTTTCTGGTCTAAGCTGTAACACCGGTGAAAACTCTGGGAGTTAGTGAGGAAGTCCTGAATCCACAGAGCAGGTCAGCTGGTGGGTAGCTCAAGTAGGGTCAGAGGGGCCAGAAGTTAAGGCTGATCAAAGGACACACACATCTCAGCCCTTTTGTGATCATGCCTAGGGCCAGCCCTTCTCACAATCTGTTTCTCCAGTGGGCCTTACTTCTCAGTTTCATCTTCATAGTATTGTAGCATCTCTTCAATTAAACTTGAGGGAACAAAACGTATAATTGTTTATAGCTTGTCACCTGTCTGTTCTATGCCCAGAAGCAGAAGACGCTCGAAGGCCCGTGTAATGTGCTGCTGTCTTCCTGCAGCAGTCCACAGAGCACACTGTGCACTGCAGTGTTGGGCAATTACTTGCTGATGTGAGGTCGTGCAATCACTCAACATTTAATTTGCAGCTCATCAGAGATAAAATGAATATAAACTTAGCTCCCTAAGGACCATTTAAAGAAACCATATAAAGCCTTTCCTATAAATACTCAGGAAACATCCCCCCCGCTTCTCTCTTTGTGGATTAAGCTGCTCAAATTACAGTTACTCACTGAGTGGGCATGGGAGTGCCTTCTCTAGGTGAGGCACCAGCACAGCAGGGACCATGCTGCAGGGTGGCTATGACGTGATGTTCTTGGCCTTGCCCAGCTTTATGTCTTAGGAGGGAGACAGGCAGCACAGGCAGCCACACTGTGTGGAGCTCTGAAGAGTAAACACTGGGTACTTAATGGGAGTGTTTGGTTTGTATGCCGTGGTGTTCTGCAGAAAGTAATATTTGAAAGACCTTTGGTCAGTAGAGAAGTAGATAACAGTTCTTATTACCTTTTACTGAGAAGTGTGGATCAGAGGCTTCAAAGGATTTGGTTCGCTATAATAGAAAGTTTAACTGTAAATGAAATTATACTCAAGTTCCAAGATTAACTCCATGTCAACTTGTTGTCTAGCTTATTTACTGTTTTTGAACTTTGCTAAATGAAAATACGTGAAGTGTGTTAATGAAAGGCTTTCACAAATAATCCTCATTTTCATTCAAGAGAGAAGGCCATTTCCTTTCCACCTTAATGATCTAGAGTATTTGCCATAGAAAAAGAAAACAATAGCTTGAAATAGGAATTAATAACAGAACTGATGTGATATCCTGTGATTAAGCACATAGCTCTGTGTCTCCTAACCCCCATTTTCTCTCTCTGTGTGTGTGTGTGTGTGTGTGTGTGTGTGTGTGTGTGTGTATGTGTGCGTGCGTGTGTGTGTAGATATGTGTGTGAAGGGCAGGGGCAGCCTCGGCTGTCAGTCCTTGGGAGCTGTTTTTTTGAGACAAAATCTCTCACTCTCTTGGAACCCACCAAGAAGGGTATGTTGACTGGTCAGTAAGTTCTAGTAATCCACCTGTCTCTGCCTTCCCAGTGCTGGATAACAAGCGTGTGCCACCAGGCCCGATTTTCTTACAGAGTTCTGAGGGTCAAACTCGTTTCCTGACTAAGCTGTGGTTCCTCACCTTTCTCAAACTGAAAGGGAAGGATCCTAGTCTTAGGGTTTTAAAAAAGTGTGTGTAATCCAAAAGAAAAAATAAATGCAGGTAAATAGAATATTATAAATATGAATTCCTGGTCTATGTAATATAAATATAATTGGAAAATAGCACTAAATTAAAGTTAAAGAGCATTAATTCCTTTGTCTGCCCTTCTGCTTTAGACTCTTAAGCCTTCCTGTGATGGCCTTGAGACAGGTCACCCTGGGTCTACAGCTAACTGTTGGGTTCACTGGCAAGAGCAGCTCTATGAAAGAGTAACTTCACAGTGCTGTTCAGTGTGGTGGGCTCCATAGCGTAATATGCTGTAGCTCTGAGGATAGACTGCACTTCCACACGGGTGAGTTCAGGTGGAAAAGTACTTGAGGAAGAAGTTCTGTGTGCACGGAATGAGGTAGTTGAGGCATATGGGAGGCATGTGCTCTAGAATCTGCCTGTGAAAAGGCTCTAACATGGAGCAGTAAACGAAAGGTATACTTTTCAGGACCTTCTCAGTCTTTACTGTCTGCTGTGGTAGAGCTGAACATACAGGTGAGAAAATCCCCACTCCTCGTATGTAATTAGATGGCAGAAAGAAATTAGCGGGCTGGAGAGATGGCGCAGTGGTTGAGAGCACTGGCTACTCTTGCAGAGGACCCGAGTTCAGTTCCCAGCACCCACCTGGCGGCTGGCTCACAACCACCTGTAACTCTAGTTCTGGGGGAATATGAGGCCAGTGCCTCCAGGCTCCAAGGACACCTGCACTCATGCACACATACTTACATGTAGAATGCACACATAGACACCTAATTAAAAATAGTAAAAATAGCCGGGCGGTGGTGGCGCACGCCTTTAATCCCAGCACTCGGGAGGCAGAGCCAGGCGGATCTCTGTGAGTTCGAGGCCAGCCTGGGCTACCAAGTAAGTTCCAGAAGAGGCTCAAAGCTACACAGAGAAACCCTGTCTCGAAAAAAAAACAAACAAACAAAAAATAGTAAAAATAAATATATTTTAATTTAAGAAAAAAGGAAGTAGGAAAAGGTAATAGTGGTTCCAGGGCCTTAATTCTTTCAGAATTTTCAAATACTGATGTTTGCTCAAATACTACAATTAATTCAATCCATTCCTTCTGTATTTTGAGTACCTCCTGTAACCACTTTGTTTAGCGTTCAGTGTACAGTAGCTTTAGGATGAGGTTCATAGACAAGGAACTTATGCTATAACTGTGGCACATTTTCGCAGCCTTGGCACTGGTACCGTTTGGTGGAACTGGTGGCAATCCGTTGTATGTGGCGGCCGTACTATGAATGGAGGTCTGCTTAGCAGAACTCCACCCTTTATCCAGTGGGGCCAATAGCATCCTGCCCCTGTTTGTGACAATTGAGATGTCTCTAGATACGGCAGATTTCCTATAGGGCGGAGAATTGACCCTGCTTAGAAAACTGTCATGTGAAGGAGATAAGACAAATAGCTATGGAACCTCAAGATGTCTTATAGGAATACTTTTCTATCTTTTCACCGTACTTTCCAGTATTTACTGTAGACTCTACATTTTCTAACTGCAGGGAAGGTATTTAGAAAGAGCAGACTGGGACTAAAGGTAGCTTCGATACATATTTCATAGTACTCGCATTAGGCTGATAGAATGTCATTTGTACAAATGAGGGAATGGGGAGTGGAGGCTGTTCTTGGTAATAAGAAAAAGGAGAGGGTCACTGAAGTTTTCTTATGTCCTCCAAGGTACCAGAAGATTGCAGAGCAGTTACTGTGTACTGTAGAGATCTACAGCAAAAGACACGTCATGAAAAAGTTCTAGAAAGACTATCTGAAAGAAACAGGTCTTCAGTGTATGGAAGATAGATAGGGTCTGCTTTTGTTAGCGGGTTCTGAAGCACACGTTCCATTGCTACACAATCTCCTGTGAGCCTCACCATGACTTGTTGTCCCATTAATGAGGAGAGGAGGGGTTCAGGAAGATAATAACACCACAAAATGAAGTGGCCAGGGGCAATAGAGCAGGACCCTGATTTGACCACTTGTAAATGAGTGACAAGAGGACACAGTAGATGCCCTGGTAGGACACCAGCAAAGAGGCAGACACACCAATGTTGATGGCTGTGAAGAGACCACACTGCTGGGCCAGAGGGTTGGCTTGGTCCTAGGAGGCTGACATTGGTCCAGGAAGATAAGGTAGGGTTGGTGCCTAGGGAGCGTGGTTTAGATTTGAACCTCTAGTGAGTTTGGGGAGCCCTTGTTGGTTTTCAGGAGCTTGGAATGATCCAACGGTTACACCACTGTGAGTTGGAGGAGAACTTGGTAACAGTGAAATATTGGAAAGAACTGTCGTAGCTCATGTCCTCTTGCAGTTGGATGATTGGTAATTAGTTCTTACAACTCTTCCATGATTGTGAAATGTAATTATGTGTTTTAGGATCCCTCTTAGGTGATAAAACCCGGATGACTGAGCTATCAAGAGATAGGAATGCATACATCAGGCCATCTCCTACCAGTGGGACTTTAGGAGGTGTGACAAGGACCACAAATGAAGCTATTCTGTTGTGTGAAGGAGGGGGATATGACATCATTCTTATTGAAACTGTAGGTAAGTGTGATATTCTCTTTCATAAAAATAATATACCATTATAATGAATGCTATTTAAAGATAATAACAACCGATTTCACTTAGTTCATTCAGCAGATATGAAGTGTAATTAAACACAAGCTATTGCCCGAAGGGCAATGTGAGTATATGGGCTGTGCTCCCCACCCACAAGAGCCTTCCCTATGAAAGATGATAGTGACCCACATGTCTGCATAGCAGCTTTCTGTGTGCGGGGTTAGTAAGAACTAGAAGGACATTTGGAAACAAATCACAGCACTGCGTAAGCACACTTATGTCCACAGTATTCACTACGGAAGTGTGGGCAGCTGGGACCTCGGGACTCTGAGGCTGGCTAGTTCATCATTAGCACAAAATGTGTGGAGTGAAACATCAGAAGGACAACTCCAGGCGTCTGCATTCTTGTGGGGAAATGCTCTTTTGGTTTACTTTGTGGTGAATGTGTGTGACACAACCCAAACCAGTGTTTGGGGGAGTCAGTGAAGACTGCCTGGAGGAGGGAAAGTGGATGTTAATGGCGGGGTAAAGGGTGTTGCACAGACACAGAGACAGCATGGCTCATTCAGAGAAGTGCAGCTTGCTCAGGCCACTTACAACCCTGAGGGCAAAGAGAGGAGCCCAGAGCAGTGGCCAGGGTCAGGTTTGCTTGTGTGCCCTGCCGAAGAGTTTCCTTTCTCTGAAGGGAGTGCGAAGCCACACGTGTGTTTGGAGGGAACCGTACAGCAGAATGAGGAATGGTCAAGGTTCAGAATGGAGGTGGGAAGTAGTTAGACCATGGTGTCGATCAGAGAAAGGGGATGCAGGCTCTCCTTCAGGTAAGCAGGGCTGGGGAAGAGGAGATGGAGCAAAAGCATTGGCAGCGAGTGGGCTGGACTTTATTGTTGATTAAATGTAAGAGATGAAGGCAGGGGGGTTGGAGCAGCAGAGAGCACCATGGACAAGGGTGAAGGCAGAGTACTGTGAGTCCAACTATCAGTACGTTACTATGACGTGCGAATGTCCAAGGTGACATGGTTTTAGGAAGACTGGGCAGGAAATACAGACCTCACGCTTATCAGCATGGCTCATAGCTTTGTACGAAGTTGTAAATGTGGTTTGGGTTAAAAAGAAAATAGGGAATAAAAATGGAAACTAGCCACATTGTTTGTTAGGATTACTGTCATAAACAGGGCTGGGCGGCTTAGACCCTCGGTGTCACCCCAGGTGTGGAAGCTGGAACTGAGGTCAAGGCACCATCAGGTGGCTTTCTGCACTCCCCCCCCCCCCCCCCCCCCCGTTTGCAGGTGGCTGCCTTGCTGTGCCCTCACATGGGCACTTCCCAGGCACGTGCACCTTGGTGTCTCCTCTGCCCACGGGGCACCAGTCCCACTGGTTAGTGCTCCATCTCCGCCTGCAGTCACACTGAGGGCTGGGTTTTCAACGTAGGACCTGAGGGGAAGATAGGCCTAATTTAGTCCCTAAGTAGTCAGCACCGGCCTTGGGAAGTCCACCGGCCTTGGGAAGTCCACCGGCCTTGGGAAGTCCACCGGCCTTGGGAAGTCCACCGGCCTTGGGAAGTCCACCGGCCTTGGGAAGTCCACCGGCCTTGGGAAGTCCACCGTTCAAGTTTGAGTGGAGGAAGAGCTGCCTGGATGATAGCAGGAGAAGGAGAGGAGAGGGCAATATAAAAGCCCCCTGTGTTACTCAGGGTGACAGTGACTCCGGGTAAAAGGGGGGTGGCTGTCTTCAAAGCCTGGGGCCGGTGGTTCAGAGAAAGTGTAGTTCTACACCTTCAGTCCCTCAGGATGCTGCTGGCGTCTCTCTCTCTGTCCTTCTCACTTAGTTTCCATCCTCAAGGTTGCTCATGACTGATGGAGTGCTGACTGCCCCACCTTGGTTCCAGATAGAAGGAAGGAGAGGGAATAGGAAATAGAATGGAGAACATAAAGAGGACACCCAGCTGACCATCCTTCTTCAAAGAGCTCACCTGGAAGCCCCATCTGCTGACCTTGACCTGACTGAAAGGGACCTTGAAATGTGGGCCTTGACCTGGTACACTGGCACTCTAGGGAGGAAAGGAAATGAATAGATAGAAGTCTCTGTACCACAGAGAGGAAGAGTTTGCAGGTGTTCAAGCTAGGGATGCAGATCAAAACAGACAATGAGCATCAGTTAAGGTTCTCCAGAAATTTGACCATAAAGAGAAAGAGAGAAATACGGTGATGGTTGAGGAAGCTGTGAGATGTTTGTTCCTTTTTGGTTTCAAGGAGGAGTGGGGCTCAGGAAAGTGGGTGGGATGGAGGTCCTCGTGAGCCATGCTGCCCACATCAGAACTGCAGCATGGGTGGCCTAGCTGAGGCTGTGTTGACATCTGTCCACAGAGTGGGAACGGGAGGAGCTGGGAAGTGCTTCCTTTGTTTGACACAGTGAAAACAAAAGAAGGAAACTGACTGAACACATTTAGGAGATGTGTGTAAGTTTTGTCTGTATGTATGTCTGTCACCACATGTGTTCCTGGTGCCCACAGAGGCTAGAAGAGGGCCTTGGATCCTTTGGAAGTGGAGTTGTGAGTCACTTGCTGGTGTAAAGATCCAAGCCAGGCCCTCTGCAAAAGCATCAAGTGCTCTTAACCACTGAGCTCTCTCCAGCCCCCAGGGGGGATGGCTTTTATGAGACCCTTCGGTGGTACTTGGCTGCAATCGAGAGGCCTCTCCAAGCATGTTTAAAGAGAAGAGAATTGGGGCTTTGCAGAGTGGGAAGAAAAACGAAAAGGCAAAGGAGATGAAAATCTTCGCAGACATGGTTTAAGACTAGAGTCACAGTTTTCAGGCCACTTTCTGATGAAAGAGAAGCCCAGAGAAAGCTTTAAGGGTAGGAGAGAATGGAAGTCTATAAGACAATAGTTCTCAACCTTTGCAACGCTGTAACCCTTTAATACAGTTCCTCATGCGGTGACCCCCAACCATAAAATTAGTTCGTTGCTATTTCATAACTATAACTTTGTTACTGTTATGAATCATAATATAAATAGCTGTGTTTTCCAATGGTCTTAGGCGACTCTTGTGAAAGGGTCATTTGACCTCCAAAGGGGTCACAACCCACAGGTTGAAAGCCTGTGCTGTAAGGTCTTCATCCAAAATATTGGTCTAGTGAGAAAAGAAAAGATGTGTTGACACATTAATCCAAACTCATGCTAGCAGCGTTTGGAGGTGGGGCCTTTGGGAAGTAGTTAGGGTTGGATAATGCACCAAGCATGAGGCCCCTGCGATGACATCCAGGACTTTCCATGCAGAGGAAGAAACACCTGCATCAGCATGCTTGCTGTCTGAGTAGACGCTGCTGGCTCTATGCATGTGCACTTGCAACAGGACTTTAAAGGGTTAATATGTGGCCATGAAGATGAGGAGTGGAATGAAGTGGAATGGAAATGAGCAGAAGTGGAATGGAATTGATGGCAGAAATGTTACAGCTGAATGTTTTAAATAAAGCCATGATTTGAAATTGCAGGTGTGGGCCAGTCAGAGTTCGCTGTCGCTGATATGGTTGACATGTTTGTTCTGTTGCTGCCACCAGCGGGAGGGGATGAGCTGCAGGTAATGATCTGGGTGCCCCAGCCCTCCTGGTAGGTATCTCTGAAAGTACAAATGTGAAGCGTAGTATTGTTGTGAGTTAGGTTGAAGGTAGTGTAGGAAAAAACATTGTCCTCTAGGCTGAAGTACATGAGCCACAGGCAGATTCTCTCGGTGTGTGTGTTTTTTTTTCTCAACCTAAGTTAAATGGTATGACTTTGAGCTACTCACACAACTTACTCTTCCCTGTACAACATGCAAGTGACTGGAATAAATGGAAGGCTTCGGCCCAGAGACCACAGTATGGCGGCTGTTGTAGAACACTTGGCTCAGCAGTGATGGGTGCGATATCATTGGTAGCTTACATACTGTCCACCAGTACAGCACTCTCCTGTCAGTCCATCATTAGCCAGCTGGAGTTGGTGCAGATTTCACACATACCAGCTCTGCCAGGCCACCTGTACCACTGAACCACTGCCTACAAAGCTGAAGGTTCCACTTCCTCTCAGGTTCCATAATCCATTAGAATAACTCACAAAATTCAGGAAAGTCCTGTAAGAGTAGGTTTATGACAAAGGTACCCCAGTGAAGAAGAGACACACATGAAGCTCTGTGTGTGTGTGTGTGTGTGTGTGTGTGTGTGTGTGTGTGTGTGTGGCATTGACTGGGACACATCCACACATAGAAGTTAGTATGGGGGTATGGAGTTTCCTTGTGCAAGGGTAGGACTTTGTATGTGGGGAGGAAACATACACACCCATGATTGTGTGAAAGATTTTCTTCTGGTGGATTTAACCCAGGGGACTAAGGTGTTAGGTGATCAGCAGTCACCAGAGTGACCCCAAGCGAGTGACTTTGGAGTTAATTGTCTAATGTTGATGAAGAATAAGGACTGGAAGAGAGGCAAGCAAGTGAAAGTTGATTTTATCAAGGAAAAAATAAGGCCTCTGAAATGGGAGGGGTGGTCCTAAGAGAGGGGACCATCATGCTGTTTAGTGGTCTTTTGTGGGACTTACATTGGGAAGTGGGTAGAGCCTGAGGCACTCCTTACTGAGATTCATCATTCTTTGGGCACATCATGAACCAAACCAGTAAGAGACCTGTTGTGGAATATTATTTTAAGGAGTGTTACTTCTATTTATGTTGCATTTGTTTAACTCTGTGAAGCTGTGTTACTGGGCCTGTCTAAAATACCTGATGGTCTAATAAAGAACTGAACAGCCAATAGCAAGGCAGGAGACAGCATAGTCAGGGCTGGCAGGCAGAAAAAATAAATAGGAGGAGAAATCTGGGAGGAGGAAAAGAAAGAAGGAGCCAGAAAAGGAGGAGTGCTGTGGATGGTCTGTATGTCAAATGTGTTGCTGATTAGTCAATAAATAAAACACTGATTGGCCATTGGCTAGGCAGGAAGTGTAGGCGGGACAAGGAGGAGAATAAAGCTGGGAAGTGGAAGGCTGAGTCAGAGAGACACTGCCAGCCGCCACGATGACAAACAGCATGTGAAGATGCCGGTAAGCCACGAGCCATGTGGCAAGGTATAGATTAATGGAAATGGATTAATTTAAGCTGTAAGAACAGTTAGCAAGAAGCCTGCCACGGCCATACAGTTTGAAACCAATATAAGTCTCTGTGTTTACTTGGTCGGGTTTGAGCGGCTGTGGGACTGGCAGGTAAGAGAGATTTGTCCTGACTGTGGGCCAGGCAGGAAAACTCTAGCTACAGAGGAGGATGTCAGGGGCCAGCCACACAGCTATCTAGCAAGCCATGGAGTAAGAACAAGATTTACAGAAGAGAATGGAAAAAGCTCAGAGGCAAAAGGTAGACGGGATAATTTAAGTTAAGGAAAGCTAGCAAGAAACAAGCCAAGCTAAGGCTGGACATTTGTAAGTAAGAATAAGCCCCACACTCTTTTGTGTCCCCTGGCTCAACTGGAGACAATCATGCTTTGCTCATCCAATCTAGGCAGTGGTCACATGTCACGGTCACCTTTGTTTAATCTCTCTACTTGCCTTACTTATTTTGTAGGCAACTGGTCAAATAATTTCCCTTCCTTGTACTCGGGCTACATGACTAGCTTATAATTTACCATAGGTTCTCATCCTTACTTCTTGCAGTGAGCTGAGGTGGGGCTAACTTTGTCTCAGTGAGATGATGTGAGCTGCCTCCTGCCACTCCATCAAATTTTCCTTGATCATCTATTTACTCAAAGTCTGGATATATTTCACCAAGTTAGTCTCTAAATTTGGGAGGGATGTTACAGATGACTTCAGTAATTCCAAGAGCATCTACTGATCATTCTTTTCTCACTCTAGGTGAGAGTAAATGGAATATTTCTGATTAGTGTGGTTCTTCTATTCTCTTTAGGGCATCAAAAGGGGTATAATTGAGATGGCAGATCTGGTCGTTATAACTAAATCTGATGGAGACTTGGTTGTGCCAGCCTGCAGGATCCAGGCAGAGTACGTGAGTGCACTCAAGTTGCTGCGCAGGCGCTCAGAAGTCTGGAGACCGAAGGTTGGCATGTGTTCTTCTCTGTTTTCACTGAGTGGACTGTGTACCGTAGGACAGAGGACATGGGTCTCAGGCTGGACATCTGAACAGTCTTTGCTTGAATGTAAAGACTACACTTTGAAAACTCTGAGAGCCAGAGTTTGTAGTTGAGCTTAAATATAATCTTTCAACCACACGGTGAGGTAAGAGATGAGGCTGCTCATCACTTGCTGTAAACCATTTGAGAGCGATAGGAAGCCATCCTAAAAGAAAGCCCTTAAGGTTATAGAGCACTTCATGGTTTGATGTTCTCCACTAGGACTTGGGTAGCAGAGCAGAGGCTTATGATGTGATGCTTGCATTCCCATTATTTTCGGTGAGTTAAGAAAGTGAAGAACAGCAGTGTAGGAAACTGCAGTTGCATTGGCTGGCAGTTTGTCTGCAGGAGGATGCTTGCCCTATTAGTAAGGAATAAACAGTAGTCATCATGAGAGCAGCAGGCTTTCTTACTGCTGGCTTCTCTGGGGACTTCTGTGTGGGGTGACGCCATCTTGTCCATGGAGGTGCTGGGTGCTCAGCCTTGCACTGACTGGCCCAGGAGTGGAGCTCTTCCTCAGCTTAGCTTCATCTGTGGCACTCAGACCTCAGGGAGCCCTCCCTACCATTGTCTCTGTTCATCCTATGACACTCACAAGTTGTCTGGGATTCCCATGACCATCTATCTCAGCCATCCTAATTTAAAATACATTTCTGGGCTAAAGAATTTGGCCTTAAGTCAGCAGCTTATTTCTGTTGTGCTGTTAGTAACCTGAGGCCCATGCTGCAGTGTGCGCCAGTGCATGGTCATTTGTTTCCATAAACGAAGAGTTCATTTGCAAATAGCAGACTTCCCATGAAATAACAGTTCTGGTTCTGCCTTCTCCATAGGTCCTTCGCATTTCCGCCAGAACTGGAGAGGGCATCAGTGAAGTGTGGGATGCAATGAGAGAATTTCAGGACGTAATGCTGGCCAGTGGGGAGCTGACCACCAAGAGACAGAAGCAGCAGAAAGTCTGGATGTGGAATCTCATTCAGGAAAACATCTTACACCTTTTCAAGACCCATCCGAGCACCCGAGAACAGATTCCGCTGATGGAGAGGAAGGTTCTCAGCGCGGCCCTCTCCCCAGGACTAGCAGCAGACTTACTGTTGAAAGCTTTTAAAAACGAACACTAATAAACTTATCCTGTACAATCATTTTATAGAGTTTCCAGAGTACTTCATATCCCAATGTCACCTGTGTGTTTATATTGTGACACTTTTGTCCCACCCCAGCTGACTTGTGTGGCACGGTTAGACATGGGTAGTGGTTTTAAAACCATACTGTGTGGGACTGGTCCCACTTCCTCCTTTTCTTATGCTCTGGCAGAGTAGTTTCTTCTTAAGAGTCAAAAGTGGAGGAAGCTGAGGCGTCTTAGAAGCGAAAGTCATGATTGGCATTTAGTGTACCAGACTAGTCTAAAGATTTCTGAAGTGGCCATGTATACTCTAACAAAACAGAATCAGTGATGGGAACCAATGTTTAAAGTCCACTTGGCTGGACTTGGAAGGCTGCTTCTCCATGACAGGCAGAAAGGAAACACAGCTACAAAGGTGGCCCACAGTTCCCAAGAGACTCAAGAGTTAGGACAAGTCAGGGTTACTGAGTTTGAAGATTGTAAAATGTTTGTACTCCTTTTTCCTGTCCAGTTTACTTCACATTGATCTACTTATGTATGCATGCATGTGTGCACGCGTGTGCATGCGAACACACCCTTTGTATCATGCATGTGGGGGCAACAGGTCATCTTTCAGTACGTTTGAATGTGTTCTATTGCTGTCCACTTTTTTTTTCTTTAAGACAGGGTCTTACTATGTAGTCCTGGCTGTCCTGGGACTCATTCTGTAGACCAGGCTGGCCTTGAACTCAGAGAGATCCGCCTGCCTCTGTCTCCTGATGCTGGGTTAAAGGTGTGCACCACTGTGCCTAGTTTATCCGCTTTTTTTTTTTTTTTTTTTTTAGAAAATGCCTCTGGCCGGGCGGTGGTGGCGCACGCCTTTAATCCCAGCACTCGGGAGGCAGAGGCAGGCGGATCTCTGTGAGTTCGAGGCCAGCCTGGTCTACAGCGCGAGATCCAGGAAAGGCGCAAAGCTACACAGAGAAACCCTGTCTCGAAAAACCAAAAAAAAAAAAAAGAAAATGCCTCTGAACTCAGCAATTATTTGAGCATCAAGTCCTAGGCTTCCCCCCTATCTGCAGCTTTCCAGATTATGTGCGCACAGCACGGTGTCCAGCTTTGTGGGTCATGAGGATGGGATTATGGGTACACAGCACAGTGTCCAGCTTTGTGTGTCCTGAGAATAGGATTATGGACACACAGTACAGTGTCCAGCTTTGTGGGTCCTGAGGATGGGATTGTGGGCATACAGTATGGTATCTGGCTCCTGTGTGTGTAGCTGGAGTTTTCTCCAGTCCCGCTGGGGCCCGCAGCCACTCAGACCCAAGTAAACGCACAGAGACTTATATTACTTATAAACTGTATGGCCATGGCAGGCTTCTTGCTATCTAGTTCTTATATCTTAAATTAACCCATTTCTATAAATCTATACGTTGCCACGTGGCTTGTGACTTACCAGTACTTTAATCTTACTTCTCATGGCAGCAGCGGCTGGCAGCATCTCCTGACTCAGCCTTCCACTTCCCACAATTCTCCTCCCTGCTTGTCCCGCCTATATTATACTTCCTGCCTGGCTACTGGCCAATCAGCATTTTATTTATCAACCAAATCAGAGCAACATATTCACAGCATACAGAGCAATCTAGATCCACAGCATGTGTGGGTCCTGAGGATGGAATTATGGGCACACAGCATGGTGTCCGGTGTAGCAGAAATCTTAGATGGTCTTACTAATAAAATCAAACCTGAGGCCAAGTATTGGGATGAACACTGGAAGATCAGAGAGACAGAACAAGCCACAGCTAACCTCACCTGGCCAACTTCTCAGCTGATCTTGTTTCCTCAGACTGGAAGCCTCTGTGTCCTCATCCAGAATGGGTATCAGCTGAACTGTGCTGCTCAAAAGCCTGAATGCTTAACCATACCAAATGCTCAAAACTTAAAAGCTTAACCAGCCAAATGCTTCTAGTTTCTGGTCCTCACGCCTTATATACCTTTCTGCTTTCTACCATCACTCCCTGGGATTAAAGGCTTGCTTTCTGGGATTAAAGGTGTGAGTCACCATGCTTGGCTGTATCCTTGAACAGATGGATTTCTGCCTCTGGAATGCTAGGATTAAAGGTGTGTGCTACCACTGCCTATCCTAAGTATCTAGTGGCTTTTCTGTTCTCTGACCCCAGATAAGTTTATTAGGGTACACAATATTTTGGGGAACACAATACCACCACAGTCCGGCTTCTGTGTGTGTCCTGAGGATCAAACTCAGGCCCTCATGCTGCACACCAAGCACTTTACCAACTGATCCATCTCCCCAGCTCTAGATGTAGTTTTTTTCTTAGGGCTGAAGGACAAAACTGATCCAACAGAGGAAGCACACCATAGAGACCAAGACCTTGGGCTCTGGAGTTAGGCAGTGTGTCTAAACTTGAAGCAGACCAACCTCTGAACCTGAACAGGGAACCTGACTTGTAGGCTTCAGTTTCCTTCTGGCAAAATGAGGTTGACGTATGACCTTACAGAGCTGGTGAGGATTAAATTATTCGGGAAAATCATTTCATCATCATAATGCCATATAGGAAATATTGCTTGCTGTTTTTATTATGCTAAAGTTGTAGGTCCCTAAAGCTACATAAACCTTATTTATAATTTAAATTTCTTCATGGTTTTATTACTACCATCATGCTCTTATGATTTTTTATGATTGTCTTTAAACCTCTAGCTCTGCTTAATTCTCTGAATGTCTTAAACTATTTGATGGTAGTTACAACTGTGTACATTTGAGTAAAGTTATTTCTAGCCATAAAATTTCTCCCAAATAAAATATTCTTCTACACACTGTATTCTAGACTCTAGGATATTTTACGTAGTGTGTCAGCTTTACTGTTTCCTATGCTACTGGTTCGTAACTGAAATCAAAATTTTTTGAGTGTTATTTTAACAGACACTCCTTGATATTTGTGTAAGATCTGTGGGATTTGCATCCTGTGTATGAGAAGCTCAAAGAGGTTAGCCAGGAGAATTTCTTGATGAGAAAGGACCACCATTTAAGGATGTTTAGAAACTTCTAGAGGCCATCTCATGATTTCCCTTAACCGGCTGTTGCAGTGTTACCAGGCCTGGCACTTGTGGTACAATGTCCGTATCAATGGGTGTTTGCTGCCTCCTACAGAGGGTAGAAGGGGGAGGGGGAATTTTGTCAGCACTAAATTTAGCAATGTGTTTTTTCTCTGTTTGAACTCCTTTTAAATGGCATATATGTAGTTACAAAAATATGAGAAAAGTCCCACCCCCCTCCTGTGGCCATTGTGCCGTGGGCTGGGATAGACCAATTCACCTTTATTTCTTTGGTTTGCCATACCAGAGAGTAATATTTGTATTTTTTTCTTCAGATCTGTGCTCCATTTTGCTATGCCCTTAACAGTGGTTCCACTGTGCTGGGCCTCTGGCCTGGTCAAAAGCAGAGGTTTGGACTTAGCTGTGTGTTGACATAACTGTCCACTCTATCATGAACTGGACACATGAGTTAGAAAAGTTGTTTTTCCATGTTTACCAATTCCCTTATCTGTAAAAGTATGGTGATGGGAGCTACTTTACAGCATTGTTGAGAGAATTAAGTGGGAAACTGAAGCGGTTGGCACTCAATGGCAGGCGGTGTTCTAAATATTTCATACAGACATTCATCATAGCTTTTTTCCCCTGCGGACTATCATTTCCTTTCAGATGGACCAAACTACTTAATCTCCCCGTGCCTCAGTTTTCCCACCAGTAAATAGAAATGGCAATAGTGTAATGATTATATTCATTGTCAATTTGATGACTTTTTAATCATCTAGGAGACACATCTCTAGACATGTATTTGAGGGCATTTCCAGAGAATTTTTCCCAAAGACAACACTAAATGTGAATGGTACTATCCCATGGGCTGGATCTGAAGAAAAAGGCAGCCAGCTTGTGCTCTGGCCACGGCAGTCTCAGCAACTCTTACTGCTGGGAGTCACAGTAAGCTTTTTTCCCTTAAGTTACTTCTTGTCAACTCTTTTCACCATCACAGTGAGATAGTACTAACAATGCTATCAGTCCAGAGCTGGGCATGTAGTACCTGACTTAAATGCTAAATATTAGAGAATGAATACGAGTTACTTCTTGGCAAAGTTTAAGGGTTGGATGAGTATAGACTTCCTCTATCTTAAAATAATAGTTACTTTCTGGGAAAAAAATCTTACAGGTTAGTTGCATTAGTCGAAAATACAGCTTATTCAGACTGGAGAGATGGTTCAGTGGTTAAGAACACTTGTTGCTTTTGCAGAGGACCCAGGTTCAGTTCCCAGCACCCACATGGTGGTTTACAAACATCCATCAGTTGGGATCCAATGCTTTCTTCTGATCTACTTGGACACCAGACATGCACATAGTGTGTGTGTGTGTGTGTGTGTGTGTGTGTGTATACACATACATGCAAGCAACACACACACACACACACACACACACACACACACACACACACACACACATATATATATATATATTAAACAGTGAATGGGGAAACTCTGGACATAGTGGCCCCCACCTTCAATCCTTGGACCTGGGAAGCGGAAGCAGAAGCAGGAGACGATAAAGCAGACTAGAACATTCAAGAACCTTGGGAAAATGTCAAAATATGCCACATAAAAGTTGTGGATTCGAAGGAGGGGGAGGAGGAGAAGAGGAAATCCATTTCTGAATCCCTGCTAAAATTCAATTATTTTGTTTTTGGAGACAAGATCTCTGTAGCCTGGCCTGGACTCAAGCCTGCAAACCATCCTGTGGAGTGCTGCCACCAGGCCGGGCTTTCAGGTGGGGTTCTTGTAGCCCACTGAATGTATTTCAAGGCACTTACATAATTCAGGGACAGTACCAGAGTGATGACCAGCATGAACATTAAACATCAGGATTGTTCCTCTGGAAGACAGAAAACGATGCACATTCCTTCTTGAACAATGAGGATGAGTCTCAGCTACTTTTCTTTCTACTCTATTTCCTTGGTTAGTTGATTACTAAATT